ATTGAAACCACCAACCAGATGAATCTGGAATGTGTTTCCAAAATGATAATATCGTAAGCATATGATATATGAAAATCAATATGAAAATCATTAATCACACCTGGTGATGTATAATCTGAACATCAACAAGCAGCTCGGCAGCACGGGACGGCAGAAGGGTATATATAAATGTGAATTATCTATAAATACTCTGCCTGGTGTCTCATCCCACTTAGTAACTGGGTTTTAACCTCAGGTATCAGTAGGGTAAGTAGGCTTAGTCCAATCAGAACTGGGGTATCACCCCCTTCCCGACCAACTAGGATAAGATAATCAAGTAGATTGGCCCTGTCAGGGGCGGTCAATCCTCAAAAGAACGGTGGATCTGTCGTGAACTTCTGCGAGGAACGACGGAAAGTCCTGGGTGCTTTGGAAAGACTTTTAGCATCGGTTCCAAAAACAATGTTTACTCTCCGGTAATTTAACATAGCTATTGAACAGGGCCCATGTATAAATGATTTACCTATAAAAAAATGTGATTTTCCAGAGTGTAGGAGGCGGCCCGTCCCCCAACTCAAATTACCAAAGTTGCCATCAGTGACATATTCCATATGATATCCATGAAAAAACAACATGGATTCCCCATGAAAGATCCTCATAGTTCATATTAATGCTTACATCATATCAAAGCCTGCCTGAGCTTCAGCAGACTCAGCAGACTTCTCAACTTCATCACTTCCTGGAGGAACTACAACACCTACAACACCTACGCTGCTGCCTTCAGCCCGGAAGAGGCCGGAGATACAGCCTGGGAATATTATGGGAATATCACCAGATGGCTGTGTGAAAAATTTGGGGGCTTTACCCCGCATGTCATTCCATGAAATACATCTGGTTGGTTGTTTCAATGGTTTCAATCCCTCTGAAAAATGATGGAGCGAAAGTCAGTTGGGATTATGACATTCCCAACTGAATGGAAAGTCATTCAAAATTCCATGGTTCCAGTCACCACCAACCAGACATTGAAATATGTAAGTCGTGTCGTTTTTTTCGAAGCGACACTAGTGAGATTCCCAGTGTGACTATGATCATCCCCCGAGACATATCCCCCATATATAAAGGGTACTTGGTGGCGAACTACCCACGAATCGTTTTTGTGGCTTAGTTCACCCCAGTTTTTTCAGTGGATTAACCCCCTCCAAAAATCCCATGTAAATCACTGGGGTGAACTAACCCACAAAAACGATTCGTGGGTAGTTCGCCACCAAGTAGTAAATTCCCCAAATCATCATCAACGGATCAACCAACAATGGGTTTGATATATTATATACTCTCCAGTAAACTATAGCTATAACAATTTGCGAACTGGAAAATGATAAAATGGACCATAGAAAGGAATGATGTACCTATTAAAATGGTGATTTGACCTATAGCTATGTTAAATTACCAGAGGGTATAATGGCTGATTAAATACTACCCTAAAAAATGATATAACGATATGGCCTTGATAATATCCCCATGTTGGTTGGTGGGTTAATCAACAATGGTCCCATGACTGGCTCCTGGAGTGAGGTCATACTGGCCCAATTGACTTGGGCCTACATCCCAACGGTTAAGAACCCAGTAACCTGGGTGGCTCATCCCACGAATCGTAAGTAAGTTATAACCCCAGTTATAAGTGGATTCACCCGCTCCTTATCCCATTTATAAATTTATAACTGGTGTTATAACCCAATTACTAAGTGGGATGAGCCACCAAGTAATGGTTGCTAGCCACTTACCAACTGCGATAAATATCCAAGTAGATCCAGAAAATGTGGGGTGTCTATTTTCACATGCAAGTGGCATGAGTTTTTTTTTACGCCAGCCGGTCACCAAGGTTGACCGATTTGGGGGTAGGTTCATTGGATAGCCTCAAGAAGAACAAATCATTCCTCTCACGTACTCAAATGTCCTTGAAACAAAAGAGGAATAGAGGGGCCTCTCTATATACTTCTACTATGGTTAATCAATGTTTATCTTGTTTGGCACTGTTTAGTATTGAATGGGGTGACCCCTCTATTACCCAACCAAGTACCCTCTGGTAATTTAACAGTTGCTGTGGAAAATAGGAAATCGTCGAACTCAATGAGCCATGGCTTCCATAGTTCTGTTAAGCTCAACCCTCTTACTAATCAATTAAGCAGCTTCTATCTCTGATTATAAGTGGGATAAGTAGGATCAACACTTCCGCCTGGGGTTACAACCTACTTACTACCCTCTGGTAAACGTTGACATAACTATGGAAAATCCCCATGTTTTAAGGGGTAAATCAACGAACTAAATGGGTCACTAGCTATGTTAAATGACCAGAGGGTAGGTGGGATGAACCACCAAGTAGTGGGAAAAGATGGACAAGAACATCAAAGTTAGCTAGCGGTCACTAGCTATGTTAAATGACCAGAGGGTAGGTGGGATGAACCACCAAGTAGTGGGAAAAGATGGACAAGAACATCAAAGTTAGCTAGCACCCCTGTCCGGTGCTGTCCTGCTTCGACGTTCGCCAAACATCGCAGGGCTGCAGCCATAGGAACCTCGGGAAGATTCCCCACCCTACAAATCGTGGGATACCCTCTGGAAAACTAACATAACTATGGACAACCACCATTTTGTAGCTGGGTAAATCCACTATTTCTATGGCCATGTTCCGTGTCGCTTTTTGTATGTTTACCAGAGGCTAATTCAGCAGTCACCCCGGAACTTTTCGCAAAAGTTCGACACCAACATCTTCACCCAGGTCATAGAGACCGCCCAGAAACCAACGTCTTGCACTCTTCCAAGGTCAACTGGGTTACCATCTCGCCGTCCTCCTGGTAAAGGTCACTTCGAGGAAAGTGACGAAAAGCCTATGAATCATATTAATCTGGTTGGTGGTATACCTACCCCTCTGAAAAATATGAGTTCGTCAATGGGTTTCGGATGACATCCCATACATGAAATGAAAAATAAAAGCCATGTTTGAAACCACCAACCAGCAATTAATGGATTGCTTTAAGATGAATCATATGAATCATATGTAAAAGCAAGTTTTTTTACCATCCCTTAAACCGATCCAATGAAGGCTCTGCGAAAATTGAAGGAGCCTCTGCTAACGGCGGATCAGAACGCTCTGGGATCTCGATAGACTGCGGGTATGTTGCGTATCATTCAATGCATTGATTTTTCAGGAAACTGTACGGTAAAAATGTATTGAGTGATGTTCAAATGATGGAAAACCAACATTTGCATGTTGCATTTTACAATGTAAACCATAGTTGGTGTTTTACATCACCCAAATCTTACCTACCAGACCATTGATCCAAGGATATCTAAGGACACCATTGGACACCATCTCTGAAAGCAACCCCAAGGAAATAGCTGGACTTTGGAATCACTTTTTCCCATCAACCGTTTCCAGGAATAATGCTGTAGATACCCTCTGGCAAACTAACATAACTACGGAAAATCACCACTTTTTTATGGGTAAATCAACTATTTCTATGGCAATGTTCAATAATTAGCTATGTTAGTTTACCAGAGTGTACGTTTGATACTTGCAACAAGACTGTCTTTGCAATCGAACGACTTGAACTTAAACCGTGACATGCCGATCAAACCATAAGCAATCATAAGCACCTTAAAGCAAGACTGCTGTGTCATCTAACAACCGCCTTGTAATACAAACTCAACTTTTAACAAATGAGCGATGACTGAGTGATCTAGAAAAAGTCATCCAAAAATCAGAAACAATGTTCTGGGAAGAAAAACAACACATCACCAGAGCTACGTCCTTCAAGAGGTATGCCGGAATCAGCGTCTTCCACTCACCAACTTCCGCGGCAGCGTCCATGGTTCGTGGCTTCGCAACAAGAAAGAGCTGGCGTGGGAGATGTAAGGCCAGCAAAAAAAGGCTGCCGGAAATGCAGTTCGCAACGGAAACAGTGATGCTTGCAACAACCTTTATGCAACAGAAATCAATCAATGATGCAAAAACATGCGTACTCCATACTCATTCCATATGTGTATATATATAATCTAATGCTCATATACATATATATATCTATACATACAGTACAATATTTGTTTATTAAAATGCAACAATGATTTCAGATGTCCTTGATATAAAAACACATCACCTTGTGGGGGTTGTCATCGAACTAAACGGGCCATGGCCTCCATAGCAAACAGTTTTTTCCCAGCGGGTAGAAGTCAAAAATGGATAAAACATGTTTCTCAAGCATCTTCCAACTCCAGGTTTTGAGTGGTTTTGAGGATCTGAGTTTTCACATAACACAGCCATCACCTTGCAACGCCCTCGCATGGCCGCGTCGCCGGCTTACTGGTACCAAAAATGAGAGAGAGAGAGAGATAGATAGATAGATAGATAGGTAGATAGGTAGATAGGTAGATAGGTAGATAGGTAGATAGATAGATAGATACCCTCTGGTAAACGTTTACATAACTGTGGAAAATCACCATTTTTAATGAATAAATCAACTATTACTATGGCCATTTTCAATAGCAATGTTAAATCACCAGAGGGTAGATAGATCTCCAATTTTGTTGATAAAAACACAAGCATTTTGCGCATTGATTTTCACCGGGGTTTGCCCATCTATTCACCCAATTGCCAATGTTGCTGATCAAATAATGTGAAATAACCTTTTTTCATGATGAAGTCCTTTATATATTTACCCAAGATGTTCTTTTTCATCGTGTTTTTGTTTAAATCCCAATGTTTGCTGCAACATTTTGCTAGAAGAATCTAGTTCACCAAAATTTTCTTGATGAATATTATATGTATACCCTCTGGTAAATTAACATAACTATTGAAAATCACCATTTTAATAGGTAAATCAGCTACAAATGGCAATTTTCAATAGTTATGTTAGTTTACCAGAGGGTATATCATGTGTTCTTGGTTAAATCCATTTGTTCGGTGGTTAAAAACCCCCATGTTACCCATGTTTCATGATGGTTAAATCCCGCTTCATGTCCGCCACCTCTTCCGCCACCACAGGCTCTGGCATGGCATTCACTACCTCCGCGGGATCGAGATTCCGTAAGGGGATTTCATCCATCAAATCAGTTTAATTTATCCATATCTATCTACATATACGTATATATATATATACATAAACATATATGTATATATTATTCCATACTCATTTGTCTGTCTGCCTGCCTGCCTGTCTGTCTGTCTCTATCTATCTATCTATCTATCCATCCATCCATCTATCTATCTATCTATGTAATGTATCTATGTATCTATGTAATGTATCTATGTATCTGTGCATTTATGTATCTGTGTGCAGCAGCCAGCTAGTTCTAGTGTTTTTTCCATGGTGCAGAGAATTATGGATGGGTCATTGCTACCCACCGTTTTCAGAATTCACTGGATGAGTACAGCTGTATGACGATGTATCTGTGTATCTATGTATCTATGCATGTATGTATGTGTGTATAATTGTATGTGTGTATGTATGTATGTATGTATGTATGTATGTATGTATGTATGTATGTATGTATGTATGTATGTCTGTCTGTCTGTCTGTCTGTCTGTCTGTATGTATGTATGTATGTATGTATGTATTTATATATGTATGTATGTATGTATGTATGTATGTAGGTATGTATATAGTGTACACCTAGACCCTAGACCCTTCGTTTATATTCGAATAATATGGTAAAAAATGTAAAAGTATTAAAACTATGATGAGAAACATCATTTTTAATGGGTACTTGGATGGTCTAGGTATTATATATATATAATATTACAGCTATAAATTTATAAATCATACGTATCTAATGAAATTTGGGATTTGTGTCAGCAGCAAACATCTGGATTTCAACATGAAACACTGGGAATGTTACCATCGAACATTGAGTATACGTTGAGTTTAGCCATCAACATCGAGCATGGTGACATTCCCAGTGTTTCACAGTGGTCTGGTAATATTCCCAGATAGGGAATAAACATCAGCAAACATCTGGATTTCGCATGATGTAAGCCCCGAAAAAAGGAAATTAAACGGAAACATCGAGCGTAGTGACTTTTCGGGGCCAGTCGCCATATTCATGGAGTTGTACAGGGTTCCTTCATGTTCCTTCGGTTTTTCCTCTAAAACTCGACCAAAAGGGGCACCATTAGATGTTCAAGGTACAGTAAGGATCATTAAGCTGGTTGGTGGTAGAGCCCTACCCCTCTGAAAAATGATGGACTTCGTCAGTTGGGATGATGAAATTCCCAACTGAATGGAAACATAAAATTCATGTTCCAAACCACCAACCAGTATCAGTAGGGTATGGTTTCTAAATTGGGATATCCAATCTCCAATATCCATCAATATCCTAAATCGGAAAATCGTGCCGCCGAAAACCATTGGCATTTTGATGCTTTTTGTGAAAAAGGTACCTGAGGTCAGTCTGAAGTGGAGAATGGGGAAGTAACTCTTCAAAGGGCTGATACCGAACCCGGTGTGGATGGTTCTTGGCAACCAAAAGTTGAAGAGTTGGTAGTGAGGTCGTCACAATATCCTTCCGATTGGTGAGTATCCCTATTTTGAATTCCGGTAGATATGTTCTGCCATACAATGCATGTCTCTTAGCGTCTATCATGTTTATTGACTTCAAGACGCTTGCCTCCAAGTTATATACAAGTGGAGGGGGGAAAAAATAACATGAATCTGCCTATGTTGAACGGTGAATCTTGGTTTTACCTTTGTTGGATAAATGTCCAGTCCCCGGATATTCAGCTGGCAAATCTCTATGAAACGGAATCTGACTGCGATGTATACCTAGACCCTCCGGTTGTACCCAAACAAAAAGTGGTACTGTAAAAGTACTAAGCCACCTTAGCGATTTTCGAACTGGGGCACCACCTTGTATAACCATAACGCTAGATTTGTTGAAATCACTACTTAAACATTGATCGCCACTTTTGATCATTATCGACCACCCATTAACTATCAACCCTCATGAAAATCATCACTCATCAACCACTAACAATTATCAACCATCATTACTCATCATAATGAATCATCATCATCTCATTATTAACTGGTTGGTGGTATACCTACCCCTCTGAAAAATGATGGAGTTCGTCAGTTGGGATGATTATTCTGATTATTCCCAACTGTTTCTGGAAAGTCATTCAAAATTCCATGGTTCCAGTCACCACCAAGCAGCTAACTATCAACCATTAACAGCCGACCAAAACAGGCAGCAGCCAATGTGCCATCTCCCGCCTCTTGCAGTGCCGCCGCCTCTCGCGCTGCCTCCTCCCGCTCCAAATTCGCTGCCGCCTCCCGGACCGTGGGGCGACGTGCCTGAAGTCATGGATAAAAATATGAAAAAAAACAAGGTGTCAAGCTTTGAAAAGTTGAAAGATCAGAAGTTGATGTTGAAAATGCCACTTGAAGCCTGAAAAGGATTGAAAAGGTAGGGCTTTGCCGCGACTACCTAGCAAAACTGAAGATTCAGACACAAAGTAGAAATAAATATAGAACCAAAAGAAATTCTTGTAGAAATTATATCTCGGATACCACCTAGTTTAACCCAGCATGAAACCATGTCTGCTAAACTACCCCAGGCCTCATCCAACACCGAACATCGGCGGGGCGGCGGCCTCCTGCCTTTGTCTTTCCTCCTCTTGCCGCCTAGCCCAGGTTCTGTGATGAATGACTACCCTTTGGTTATTTGACATAGCTATAGTGCCATGGATGCCACATAATGTGATTGGATAATCAATGTGATATGACAATATGATGATTTGACTTGATTTTATAAATGATTATCAACTCATATTTTAAAAATAACAGTGTATAGTTATTTAATGTTATTTATATCTGAAAATTTGGAATGTCTCAAAATTGTATAATTGTAGTATGCAAAGCGCCTTTTATTGTATACACTTATCTCTATTGGCCATAATATATAATTACTCGTTTCCATGATGTACATCAGGCTTGCTCCAAACAATAAGGCTATCAGTTACCTATGATGTGCTGGAGCAAGGCCGCACATATTCATTAAAAAGTGTGATTGGTTGTCGACCCGAGGGTTGAGCATTCTTTTCGGAATGTACGCGAGGACCCTTGCAGTTTCCGATGAATCCCTGCATGTTGACTTACCCCTCTGGTAATCAAACATGGCATTTGAAATCCTGCTGTCGATCAATGGACATTGAAATGGGAAACAAGTCCTCAAACTAACTGGGCGCGGGATTTTCCAGCAAGCCATGTCTGATGATGCCAGAGTGTACTTTTGAAGGTCAATCTCGAGTTATTCCCTTATGGTAATAAACTCCAGATGGTACTGTACTTTCAGCCAGTTTATTGATGCGATGACGGTGGGTGTTGGATATTAGGGGGATGATTGGGGATTGGATTCGCCTACCAGTTTCCTGAATGACCAAACGGTGCGGGTTCGAAGATGCGAGTGAAAAACTCCATGTTTTGGTGGAGATTAGATTGTTCAAATATACGGCAACCGTATTGTTGATGCTTAAATGAGGAGTTTCGTCTTGTTTGGATAATTGGAAGATCAATGTTTAATGATAAATGATATTGTTTCTTTGATTGCTTGATCACTTTTGATTATTGGGTGTGTCTGCAAATAGGATACCCCTAATTCCGATGGGTTTTTTCCCATATGTTCCCCATGAAAATTGTCCTTTGGAGGATATACTTACTGGTGCTAAACATAGGTGAGGGAATGATCCACTGGCTAACTATCAACAATGACCCATTCCCCGATTCCCATCCATTCCCTACGTTTAGCACCAGTAAGTATAGCCGATTTTCAAACAAACCCAATTGGATGCCAATGTTTACTGTTGATTTCACGGTGGCATCTCGCTTCCAAAATTCCACTGGTGAGGCGTGACCTGGTTTCCACCTCCAACTTCCTTTGCCTGGTCATGTTGGGCTGAAGCCGGGCAAGAGACTTTGCTGATCTCCTGCTAAAGGTATGCATATCGTCTGTCCGTATGTATGTTGTAGTATGTTGTCTGTATGTTGTAGTATGTGTGCATGCATGCAGGCAGGCAGGCAGTTAGGCAGACAGGCAGGCAGGCAGACAGACAGACAGGCAGGCAGACAGGCAGGCAGACAGTACGTAGGCAGGTAGGTAGGTATGCAACGTATGTAATGTATATGATGTATGGGATGTATGTGATATATGTGATGTATGGGTTGCATGCGATGTGAGTATGTATGATTATGTTTGATTATGTAGGATTATGTATGATTATGTATGACTATGTATGATTATGTATGACTATGTATGATGATGTATGATTATGTATGATTATGTATGATTATGTATGACTTTGTAGGATTATGTATGATTATGTATGACTATGTATGATTATGTATGACTATGTATGATGATGTATGATTATGTGTGATTATGTATGATTATGTATGATTATGTATGATTGTGTATGATTCTGTATGATTATGTATGATTATGTAGGATTACGCATGATTATGTATGATTATGTGTGACTATATATGTTTATGTATGATTGTGTATGATTGTGTATGATTGTGTATGATTGTGTATGGTTATGTATGTAAAAGTATGTAACAGTATGTATGTATGCAGGTATGGATGGATGGATGAGGGAAGATGCATGTCTGTATGCCTGTATGTCTGTATCCCTGTATGCCTGTATGCCTGTATGTCTGTATGTCTGTTTGTCTGCACGTACGTACGTACATACGATTGTACGTACATATGTATGTTTGTATGTTTCTATCTATCTATCTATCTATCTATCTAGCTAGCTAGCTAGCTATCTATCTATGGATGGATGCAGATGGATGCGGATGGATGCATACATGTATGTAGGTATGTATGCAAGTATGTAGGTCTTATGTAGGTATGTATGCAATGTGCATATATAGATATATATATATATATATATCCGGTAACTACATTAAAATATACGGACTTTAAATATAAGAACAGGAATTTGTGACTACCTCCGGGACGGTTTTCCTTGGCCCGCCCGGCCATTTAAACGTACGGAATCTAATTCATTTAAACACCGTAACTACATTTAAATATACGAATTGGTATTTCATACTACCTCCAGGGCCTCGCGGTCTGGCCCGCCCTCCACATATTTACAGTAAATGTCGTTACCGTATATTTACATACATATTGATTCCTAAGCTGAAGACATCAGGAGATGTGCATTGAATCCATCTTAAATCTAAAAAAATGAAACTCAAAGTGCTAGGCGGTTGAATAACGACCATTTCCTACTTCCTGTTGGTGCCTTTGCCACGTCTTGCTGATTGTACGACCATTCATTGGTTGCGTATGAACCCCGCTTGAACCACACTCTGAATTCATCGTTTTTAGTTGGTTCACTCATGTGCATCCAAGTTGGATAGTTGGCCTAATTCGAAAGTCACCTAAATTCAGAATGGATTGTTTTTGAAGGAGAATCTACAGTGATCTACAGGAGACCGTATTTTGTTCATTTCCAGCGGGGTCCTGACAATTTTCCAAGGATTCCAGGGATGAACACCCAATGCCCAGCAGCCTCTCTTGCTGGGCTTCTCTGTCCCGAAGCTCTCGCAACAACCTTGGCTCGAAACAGCAATTACCCCTATTGAAGGCCACTGAAAACTCAGGTGAAACCTCAGACTTTTGGGAGATGGGAGACGATTTTTCAAGTGAGCCACGCTCAAAACTCCACGCTTTGCCTTGCTTACAGAAAGATGGTAATGCCACAGAGGAAGCAGTGCCTTTCATTCTGGAAGAGAAAAGGAAAAGGAACTGAAAGGAGGAAACAGTCTGTCTATCTGTGGTCTTAGCATGTCTTAGCTACGTTTTGAACACATGGGTACCGCTAAGATATTGCTAGGCTATCGCTAATTTCGCCTCTTGCATGTATGCAGCTTTGTATAAGATTTAGGTTCAGATGTGGGCATTATGCAAAATTACAGGTATCGCTTTTTTGGCGGCCTATCGGCCTATCGCTACACTCAGTGTTTCGTGCACTCTCAAGACACCAAGTGGTCAGAGTTTTGTCTGTACCGCAAGTGTATATTGTTTGCGTGCCCAATTCTGTGCACTGCAACTAAAGAGATCCTTGACCTTGACATCTCAAAATATATGTATTATTTTTTGTTACCTGTTCAATTGTCGGACAAAGAGGGCCATGTTATGCTTGTAGGGTGCAGGCTTCGATATTTGATGTGGAATTTCACGAGTTACGCTGTGTCATTGGTCCTCAGTTTTTTGCGATGTCCTCGTTTCCTCATAGCCAATCATGATCAATCAGATCCATTTTTTGGATAATCGATGATAATTGTATCCATTACTCGGGTCATCAAACGTGGCAATGGAAAATCCTCCTTTTGTAGATCGTTTTCCCATGAACATTCCAATTAAAACTACGATTTTAAATTGCCACGTTTGACGACACTGCAGGGTACTATTCCCATTACCCTCTGGTAATTCAATTAGCTATGGAACATGGCCCATTCATATAGATGATTTCCCGATTAAAATTTGCGATTTTCCGTACAGTAGTTATGTTTATTTTTTACAGGGTAATCCATATGATCAACCATTATCAATATGGATTATCAATATTGGTAATCCATATGATCAACAGTTACTAACCATTTCGTTTTATTGGTAGGTTATCAATTATATAATCAGTATTCACCAACAGTTGCAGGATTTTCCCCCCCAGTCGATAGCGTTCAGTTGAGATTTTTTCGTGGCTAAACTCTATGGTTTATAAACTACAGTAGATATTAAACTACAGTATTCATGGGGTAAATCTAAACCAACATTCACAAAACTGCGGGGGGCACCATCCTATATGATGTATGATAAATATATATATATATAAATATATGTATCTTAGTCAGGGGTTCTAATCTGGGTTTATCTACCATAAACCATCGGTTTTTCCGCCACTTCTGGTCGCCACCTAAGCGTCATAAACGACACGCTCAACGTCGCAGCTTGGCGTGGCGTGGCTTGGCATCAAAATCCAGAGATCCAAGTGATCCAAGCGACTGGAAGTTGATCTCTGCTGCGGGCGCGTCACCGATCAAGAGCACCTTCCTGGGCGAAAGAAAGCTGAAGTACTTTTTGACAGTTGCATCTAAATGGTTGTAGGGAAAATTCCAATTCCAGAAGGAAACCAGATGTTTTATAGTTGTTTATTGTTTTTTTGCAAAGAGTTCAATGCTTGGGACAAGCAGCACATGATTGAAATATGACTCACTGGATGACAGTTTCGGACTTGTTTCACGCCTGTTTGAGACCTGTTTCAAACCCTGGTTCAACATCTTTCACAAGTCAGGCAGAGGTAATTGCGGGAGTCACAAGTATATATATATATACGTACATATATATTATACATACATGTAGCAGGAATTCGTCAAAAAGCCAACAAAAAGAATCAATAAGGAAACCAAACTTGTTAAAACATGTTTTGCTATATTCAATTTCTATTTTGAGGCTTCAATACGCATGAGTGGTTACATCATCAAATTTTACTGGAGAGCATGAGGGTCCATTCAAGGCAGAGAATATATCAATGATGCCAGTCTTTGTTGCCACGAATGTCAAGGGCCATGGGAAGTAGTGCTTGAAAATCCGCAATCCACATAGTATACATATGTATCATGTTTTATGACATATTAAATATTACATATTATATAGTTTATTTCTGTATTATGATGTATTATGTATATATATATATATGTGTGTGTTATGTGCATGTGTAAATATATATATATATGTATATACAAGATGTGTACATATATATATATGGTGTATTAAATATATTGTATATAGTGTGTATATATATATATATTGTATGTATAAATTATATATATAGTGTATATATATATATTGTATAGATATACACATATGATGCATATATATATGTATATAGTGTACATATATATAAATATTATGTATACACTATGTGTACATACATATACATATGCATATGATGTATGTATATTTAGTGTATTTATATATATATATGCACTGTAAATCCACATCATTGCAGTGTGAATGAGATCCATCCGTTTTGCATCCCTCCGCATGTTCCAGATGTCCACCACCAACTCCAACAAACATGTCCATGGACGTTAGCACACCGGCTCAGGGTCAGCCAATCTTAGGTGCGGGATAGGGAGGGATTCAGTGTGTCCTTGCTGCCATAGCTACTTGTTTCAGACGTGGACGTCTGCCTAAGCCAGGGGCTTTAAAACTTGGAAGGGCCACCAGAGGCCACTGCAATCGCAACCTGCTCCTTAGAGGGGACCTTAGACTTCTGTGTGCCGAACGATCCGAAAAGAGCCGAGCGGATCTTGGAGTTGAGACTTGGAGCTGCCAGTGGGTTGAGCCATAGGCCAACTACACTGGTAGCGGAGCTACCGTTTGACCACGGAGGATCCAGGGAGTGACCACAGTCCTAGAGAAAACCCTGGTGCTCCACCAGTGCGTATGTCTGAAGCATCCGAAGGTTCCACCAATGTTCCAAATCAGTTAGCAATCCTGGTGCCCTCGTTTGATCCGAGTCGTGATGACTTGCAAGTGTACACCCAAAAGGTGATGCTGCTCTTGGAGGCGTGGCCATCCAACAAGTACACCGAGTTAGCCACCCGGCTAATCCTGAACGGCAGTGGATCAGCCTTCAAGAAACTCCAGTTGCATCAGTCTGAAGTGACACTGAATGACAAGAAATCCATACACCGGATCATCGAGTTGCTGGGAGGCCATTGGGGCCAAATTGATTTGGAGCAGAAATATGAATATGCTGAACGGGCACTCTACAAGTGCTCTCAGAAGTCTGACGAAAGTGCCGACAGTTATCTTGCCAGGGCTGACATCATGTGGACTGAGTTGAACAGCCGAAAGTTTCAGCTCAGTGACCTCCAAGCATATGTTACTCTCAGGGGTTCAGTGTTGACAGCCGAAGACAAGAAGCGTGTCTTGCTTGATTCTGATGCTGCCAGCAAAGGCGATTTGACAGTAGCCAAGGTGAGTGCTGCCATCCGCATGTTAGGTGCCAGTTTCTTTCAAGAGATGACCACAGGTCGCCGTATCTCCAAGCAGAAAACCTACGATCAGTCCACCCTGCTGACTGAGGATCTGGATGAGGCTGAATCCGACCAGCCTGTCATGTCCGCTGAGGCAGTTGAGGATGATGATACCTGGGTAGATGTCTTGGTGCAAGAAGGTGACGAAGATGCGTCACTGGTTCAAGACTTCGAGGCCGCAGCCATGGAAGTTGTACAGTCAGACGAAGAGCTAGCAGCAGCCTTTACAGCATACACCGATGCCCGACGTAGGCTCAATGAGAAAGTTCGCAGCCGTGGGTTTTGGCCAATTGGTCAGAAAGGCAAGGGCAAGGGATTCCAAAAGGGGGTCAAGGGCAAATTCAGCAAAAGCCATCCGTCCTCCAGAAAGTCACTACAGCAGCGCATACTCGAGTCTCGATGTAGGCTATGTGGCAAAGTAGGACACTGGAAAGCCGAATGCCCTTCCCGTGGCGATAGTTCAGCAGGTGCCAACCGGCCTCATCAAGCACCAACGTCGTTTGTGCAAGTGTCGACAGGTGCTTCACCAGAAGCTGATCAAGGGTTGCCATTGGAATTCCTGAACCTGCCGATGCATGATGCCTCCAGCATTGATGTTTCTCAGCACGATCATGTAGATGTTTTCATGATGGTTCATCAATCCCCAAGTAAGGATAGGTTGAGAAAATCCCTACGCCAATGGAAATCCAGCCATGAACATCCTCCGGGGGCCGCCAGGAATGATGGAATGTTGCCTACCTGGCGAGTGCGCTTGGCCCAGAAAGCCCGGCCTGATGACTTCAAGCCTGAGACAACAGCCGTTGTCCCGCCTGAGCCTGACGTTGCCTGTTTTGCATCACATGGTAGCCATGGAATTGTGGATTTAGGGGCAACTAAGACTGTCATAGGGGGTAATCTTGTCAAGGGTCTTTTAGAAGGTCTTGATCCCAATCTCCGAAAACAAGTGTTTAGATGTCCGTGTGAAATCACTTTTCGTTTTGGCAATCATGGAGTGTTGCAAAGCCACCAAGCATTGGTGATCCCGATACATGGCCTGCAATTAAAGGTAGCGATTGTTCCTGGGTCCACACCCTTTTTGCTGTCAAACACCTTGCTGAGGACTTTAGGTGCCACAATAGACACTGAAAACAAGACCATGTATTCCAAACGTTTGGACCGCAAGTTTCCACTCATGTTGACCAGCAAGGGTTTGTTTCTTTTGGATTTGAATGAGCTTGCCCAACAACCACCGGGCAACTCAAATTTTTCCGAACCTGCCGAAACTCATCAGATGGTCAGCAAAGACTTGCCATGTCCGACAGTTTGCAAAAGGGTTTTACCAGCCGCACCAGATGTATCTAATCAAGATGAAATGTTTTCGCATGGCCGTGATGGACAGCAAGCTGATGCCGAGAATATGCATGTTGAAGAAGCCACCCGTTTTCACAGCAGCAGTCCGAGGTCCAAAAGATTTCCCAAGAGTTTTCAGGTGTTAGCTAAGAGTAGCCATGTCCAGCCTTGCAGCCCGCCTTCAGCAGATCCAGATGCCTGCCAGCGAGATGCGCCCCGACATGGCGCATCTGTCCCTCGACCAGCTGAGGAATCAGAAGATCACATTCGGCCGCACCCACACAGGCCGATCGTTCCAGCACATGTGGGACAACGAGCAGGGGTGGATCACGTGGTTTGTGCAAAGATACTCGGAATCCACCAAAGCCGAGCATCTCATTTTCCTTCGCTACGTCGAGCTGGAAGTGGAACGTGCAGAGCTCACAGGAACTCAGGTGCCAGTGATCAACCTGAAGGACATCGAGAAGGTGATGACCACCAGCAACTCTCCGACCTTGCCGACGCCTCGCAATCAAGTGCCCAAGGCCAAGGCCAAGAGCCTGCCGAGGAATCTTCCCGAAGTGAATGTTTGGGAGGAGGAAGAGGATCCAGAGGTGTTCGAAGTCATCCAATCAGAGCCGAATGCGACGGCACAATCCAGCATCACGAATCTCGAGAATCGCATCCTGGGAATCGAGAATGCCCTGACGGCCATCATGCAGCACATCGAGAACCAGGGAAATCGTCACCCGACCGAACAGTGAGAGACTCTGAGTGTCCGAGCATGCAGGCATTTCAGACTGCAGGTGATCCAAGTGCTGACTGCTTTAACAATCATGATCAATCAATTTCCACCCAAACCAACAGTGAAAGAATCAAGTTCCAAAGGTTAATCAATCAATACACTGATGAACTTCGTAATATTCAAGACAACACCAATGTCAGTACGAAGAGAACCGATGTTTTTGAAGTGTTTTGTGGAAATGAAAGTCAGCTGACCAAGCAGTCACAGCAACTTGGTTTCAGGGCCGACCGGTTCAGTCGACAGCAGGGCGATCTTCAAACCACCGAAGGTCGACATTTGTTGTTCCAAAGGGTTTGCCACCAGAATCCCAAGAACATATGGTTCAGCCCTAGCTGTGGACCATGGAGTGGTTTCGCATGTCTGAACGGCAGCCGTTCCGTAGATGCCTGGGATGCATTGCAGCAAACCCGAATGCTGAGAGTAGAACAGATTGCATTAGGAGTTGTCCTGCTTAGACATCAGCGTAGTGGGGGAAACCATTTTCATTGGGAGCAACCAAGAGGGTCATTGATGTTTAAGCTGCCGTATCTTCAGGAAGCGTTGCACTATCTTCTTGCAGTGGATGTTGATTTGTGTGTTGCAGGGGAACTCAAAGATCCCACCAACGGAAAATTGATCAAAAAGACCTTGACCATTTTATCAACTTCCCGTAGGATGATTAATGCTTTAACTGGACTTCGGTGCCACCACCAACATGAGCATCAGACCATTGAAGGACAAATTCAAGTGAATGGGGTGAACATGAACCGCTCCACATTCACTGAGAACTATCCTCGAAAGTTTGCACGTCGTTTGGCCATCATCATGGGAAAAGTGCAATTTCCCCGTGAGGAGCCTTACAGGAATGAGATGTGGTCCATCCTAGCTGCCGAAGAGCATCCTGAGGCTCCTGC